CAGTTTGAAAGGTCCCTGATCCTCTGCAACCATGATCAAATTGGTAATGTTTGATTTTGGATTATATTTCCTTTCATTCTATGTAGATTTACAAGTTCTGCATATACAGTATGTCATTTTTTTTCTTTCGTTTAATTGTTTATTTGAGAGGGGCAATGCATATTGATGGACATTTAAAACAAATAATGCTTTAAAACGTAAACATGCCGGATTTTTGCTTTGAGCAAGGATGGTACAGTGGTGGTATGGATGTGGCTTTCTGTCAAACACCTTGATAGCTCTCTTGAACAGCTGTTCTATGGGTTTCAGGTTTGTGGCACAAGCAAACGAGCAGTTTGTCAAACAGTATTCAATGTGGGATAGAATCATACATTGGAGGTATGACTTTAAAGCATTGACAGTTAAGAAAGGTCTAATTTGTTTAAAATTGTGCAAGTTGAATTCAACTATTGGATACTTTCTTAATATGTTTCTTAAAAGTCAAGTTCGAGCCCAGTATGACTCTACTTGAAGTGGGGGACTAGTTATATTTCTGATCCGTTTAAAAACACATTCGATCCTTCGATTATGACTGTTCGTTTATTGAACATCATGCATATTGTTTTTTTTACGTTTAACTGTAAGCAAATGTTGTTCATTGAACCTTGTCCAAAGCATTTGAGAGACAAGATGAGATCATTTCAGTGTTCTTCCCATGTACAATAATAAACTTTACATTTTGTATTTTCTCCGATAGTTAAGTGTTGCCATTGTTGCCGCATTGTTCTTGGGTAGGTTAATTATAAAAATGACATCATATTTGTATTTCACCCGAAATGTACAAAGTCACAGTTTGTAACATTTTTCTCTTAACCTTTACCAGAAAGCCACCAGTTGTGTCCCGGTCCATTCGTACTTCCAGGAGGTCCAGTGGTGAAGCCAGGTAAGTCATTTGTTAACTATCACTATGGGCCCTGCCTGTACCTGTTCGCTCTGCCATCGCGTGAAGGGTCTGCTAACAAGCGGCAAACGCACACCTTCACTCAATCCTGAGGGTCTCCTCAGCTCAGAGCCTGACCCCAAACATTGATGAACTTGCACCCAAGATGAGATGCCAAGTATCTGCTTGAACTAGCATCACAGAGCAGCACACTGAGTTTCAATGGATGTTTCCTTCTGCACTTTTTCTCTCACGACAACATGCAGGGCATGTTTGGTTNTTGTATTTCACCCGGAATATACAAAAGTCACAGTTTGTAACATTTTTCTCTTTACCTTTACCAGAAAAGCCACCAGAAGAAGTAATTCTTTACCGACAGTCTTCTGGTGGCTTTTCTGGTAAAGGTAAAGAGAAAAATGTTACAAACTGTGACTTTTGTATATTCCGGGTGAAATACAAATATGATCATGTAATATTTATAATTAACCTACCCAAGAACAATGCGGCAACAATGGCAACACTTAACTATCGGAGAAAGTACAAAATGTAAATTTATTATGACATACTTTATATGCAGAACTTGTAAATCTACATAGAATGAAAGGAAATATAATCCAAAATCAAACATTACCAATTTGATCATGGTTGCAGAGGATCAGGGACCTTTCAAACTGTAAGGGAAGTTTGAAATTAGGAATTTAAATCAACATGATCATTATCAAAATAAGTGGAGTTGCTTGAAATCATAAGAATGTGAGATGAACTTTCTATTTTATTTCAGTTTTAACAAGAAAACAGCTTTGAACTAGAAAGCAGCTTTTAACTAGCGCCGAAAATGTGTGTAAAGGTTGAAAGCTATACAAAAAATCATATCAATGCATTGCAGCATTTACACTAAATACATTTATAATCTAAGCATACATTCAACAAAAATCACATTATTTAAAAATCAATAGTTAAAAAAAAGTGAAGTAAATTCTTAAAATGAAAATAAATAGTTCCATGTTAAATTTCTCAGCAACAACAAAAACAGACTCACCAGCAAGATCTCTCATTGGAACAGTTTGGTTCATGAAGTGCTCTCCTCTCTCCTTAAATACAGCTGGGGGAGTAAATACCCCCCCCCCCCCCCCCACTGGAATCAGCAGTTTTTTTCTTTCAGAACAAGAAGGCAAAAAAACTGAACGAGATACGCCTTGCACAATAATTCTAAAATGATAGGGGGATAGAATGAGAAAATAATAATAGGATATAAGGTGTTCAACTCTACCATTCTTCTGTAGTCACTTTAAACCTCCTATACTGTACACACTGGACCTGTTTCACCAGGGTTGCCAACTCTCACGCATCTTGTGTGTGACACACGCTTTCACTCTCAATCTCACGCTCTCACGCTGCCCAAACTATTCTCACGCCAAAAACAAGATGAACCGACGATCGTTTTTTCATATATATGCTAAGGTCCTGCTACTGACACGATAGCAGTCATTTAGTGCATATGTGTAATTAAACCCATGATATCAAAATCTCACTCCAGCCAGGTACCCAAAGTTGGCAACTCGGGCTTCACACGTAAATCCAAGCAGATATTGCAGGATCCAAGCAAGTACACCTGCTTTGTGTCTTATTTAGGGAGAAACTCAGGTTGGGTTCATCTTACTTTTTTGTTCTCTGTATTGTGCTATGTTACTGTTATTCGAGAACCTGACACTCGCTTCAAAAACAAAGTTCCTGCCAGGAAATGATATACTTATTTCACTTTATACAATCTTTGTCATGTGAAGCCGGTTGGAGTGTTTGTTACCTCTTGTCATTTTGTGGCCAGGTATGTAATTTGATTTAATTCTATAAACTTTCCCTGCACAAATGTCTGCTCCCTGTTATGAACCGAGACACAGGACGCAGGACCCAAAAGCAGGACTCGAAGACAGTTGTCCAAAAATAGAATGTTCTTTAATAACAAAAACTAAATCGCACTTTCAAAAAATAGTAAAGGAGTTAAATAGCCAAAGCCAAGTTGTACAGCAACACAAAAACTCATTTGGCAAAAGGTCTAAATCTCAAGGTAGGTATCAGGAGTCAAAAAAGGCCCAGGTTCCCACGACATGAAACATAACGAACTGACAAAGGAACAAAGAAACACCAGGGCTATATATAGGTGAGGGAGTCGGCTTGACTCGGTTTGCATTTATAAAGAATGCACACATGTGTTTAATCGTTAGTGTCAGATATGTACTAAGTAAATACATTTGTTGCTGCTCAAGATTAGATTCAACTCTATTTTTATTGCACATATTACAGGTACTGAGACAACGAAATGCAGTTTAGCTTCTAACCAGGAGTGCAACAAGCAGTAAAGTGAAAAGTAATGTACACAATCTACAGAATAAAATATAGAATGAATTGAATGATGAATAAACAGTGAGGGGTATGAATAGACACAGCAGCCTGTGAGCAGTATGAACAGTGTGTATGAATATGCTAAGATATATAAAGTATGAAAACGGTAAGCAGTGCAAGTATAGTATAAAATAAATGGATATTAATTTCACGATGGTAAACATTGTGGAACAATGATGAAAAATGTTAATGGAGGGGGCGACGAAAAACTGACACAAAACAACAACAAACATTTGCCGAGCCAATTGGAGAGCTTCATCAGCAGCCGGGGGTAAAAACCACCTGCGCAGGTCTCGCTTGTCTCGAACAAGCCTACTGTGAAGACGGGAAAGCTTGTTGGTCCCTCTGTAGATTCACAGAGGGCCCGCTATAGGAACTCAACGAGAGCGTAATGTCAAATGACAGTNTGCAAGCAGACCATGTATTCAAACTTGGCTTCTTTTGAATATGTGGCCCTTCAGTTGAAATGCTCCTCTCGAGCTCTTTTCCTAAACATCTACAGACCACTGTTATGAACCGAGACACAGGACGCACGACCCAAAAGCAGGACTCGAAGACAGTTGTCCAAAAATAGAATGTTCTTTAATAATAAAAACTAAATCGTACTTTCAAAAAATAGAAAGCAGTTAAATAGCCAAAGCTAAGTTGTATAGCAACAAAAAAACTCATTGGCAAAAGGTCTAAATCTCAAGGTAGGTATCAGGAGTCAAAAAGGCCCAGGTTCTCACGACATGAAACATAACGAACTGACAAAGGAACAAAGAAACACCAGGGCTATATATAGGTGAGGGGGATGGGCACAGGTGAAAACTATCAGGGCAGGGCCAAGCAATCTCAAGGGTGGGAAACACACAAAGGCAGGAAATGTGGGATCTGGAATGAGAGGAAAGATTACTTTCAAAATAAAAACAGGAAGTGACAAGATCCAAACTTAAAACTAGAGTAAAAACATAACTAAACCTAACATATCTGTCGAGTCACAACAGCTTGCTGTATATAAAGACGTTTCAGAAAGACATAAGTAGAAGTAAAAGTGCAAAAAAAAGTTTTACATTAAGGATTTCAAAATGAAATAGGTAGGAATAGTAAGAAAGTATAAAAAAACAGCAACAATTATTAAAAATGTGCACTGTACACGCAGAACACGTTAAATGCCGTATGGATGGATAGATTGTGATATCATTATTTCACCTAATCATTTTTATTTCCCCCAAATGCAAAAAGAGATGTTTAGTTTTCTCTCAAATGTCCACATGCACAATGAATAATTTATCCCTCATTATTAGTGATATGGGATACAGGAAACCAATAAATAGCCAACTGTAATGTGAGCCTCATTGCAGAGCCAAAGGCTGATTTTATGAAAGCTAATTTGAAAGCTGCTGCTTTTTGTGTTTCCTCAGTGGTTACTTATTTAAAGAGCCCTCAGCCATATCTCAGCTTATCTTAAAGGTAATAGTTAAAGGAATGTGATTTGTTTGACATTGATGAGCCCTGCTGAGGTTTGGGTTACAGAACACTTGTTGCGCATACAGTGTGTGTTATATGTAACATAGCTTCTAGTCATAAATAACATGTCTTCTTTTGTCTTTATTGGGGAGCTTCAGATTTCTCATTGATGTAAATACTTTGGTGTTCCAGAGGCAGAGCATGTGGAATCAATACAATGTAATAATATACAGTACATTGCAAAACGAAAGGATATATTTTTATGTGATTCAGTAGTTCAGTTTTGTCTAAAAAAGGTTGCTTTTTCTTATCCAGCTTGGAGAGTTCACTCTATTAAAAAATATGTATTTGTTCTTCGAAAGAGTAAATAGTACAGACATGTCTTGCTACCAAATAGGTGTAAAGAATGTAAACAATCAACTTTCAAAATATAAGTGTCAATAATTATTCCCACACACATCGGATGAGTTTATGACACCACTTAAGTAAGACCTACACCCTCTCTGTGAGCCTCGGAGCTGCTGCATGATTTCTGCTAAGCTAATCATTATGGTTAATAAAAAGGAAGGTTATATCACTCTGAGTCACTTAAATCACAGACGACATTTTCATGGAGCTTGGGCCCAGATGATCGACAAAGGTGACACAGAGAGCAGACATGGAGCAGCAGCCCATCAGACCGACATGGAGCAGGCAGATAGAGTTCACCCTGGCCGGCATCGGCTGTGCTGTGGGTCTGGGCAACGTGTGGAGGTTCCCATATCTCTGCTACAGGAGTGGAGGAGGTAAGACACAAGCCTGACCTTTCATCTTCAAACTGAGTTATGAAACCAGACCACCCTCTCTACTAACACAGTGTTTTACAAACATATTGAGAACTGGTGTCAAAGGTTGTTCTCTTAGTTAACAAACTGTTTAGTTAGAGCGTTTTTAATCATGTGTCTTGATGCTGATTTTGTTGAATATTGTTGAAATTGTTCTGAACTTATCTCAGTGTGTATTTCATGTAGGAATATGGGCTACAAGCCCATACAACAGTCATGATCATATGTATTCAAGGCAAATTGCCACTAATATGCTGATAACACCTTGATATACAGTATCTGCATGTTTACAAATCAGGCTCTTTGTGAGCTACACATAGCTTTACTAGTGTGCAATTCACCATATGTGATTTAAGATTAGTTTGCAGAGGAGATGATGTATAATTAATGATTCTCTTTAATTTAAGCCTTACATTCAGAAAATGGTGAAACTGAAGTTGAAACTGGGTTTCTACTTTAGAAATAATTATTGTGTTTGTCTTCATTCAAAAAGGAGACTTCCACCCTTGTACACTGAGATTTACTCTGTTATTTAATACAAATCTCATAGGCCTTCCAATGCTTCGTTTATGATCGGATATGTTCAATTATCTGTGAACCACCCATGGACTGTTGTTGTGCATGGGCTTCCCTCTTAATTATGGAACTACATCTTATTAAAGTAAATATTCAAAAGTATGGGTATGTTGTCTCTGCTCCCAGGACTCATTCCTAGTAACTGTCCCAGAAGTCTGTCCTGAACTGGGAAAAATGTTTTCAAATATGCTGCTCCCTCCACATGGAATCAGTTGCTATATATTCTCTCATTGTGCTAATTTAAAAGGACTGAATTATTTTAAACCAAGCACACGTGGCCTATGTTTTAACTGTTGAAAAAGTTTTTTTAAGTCTTTGATTTGTTCTTTGTTTTTTGATTGTGTTATGTTTGTTTTTATGTATTCAACCTTATTTGTGCTGCCTCTATGGCCAAGTACAGTATTTAAAAAGACATCCATTAATCTAGTTGAATACAAAACAACCCACTGTAATCTGAAATGATCCATGTGCAGTCAGTTGGAAGGGACATTGATTTACAAAAACACTAGACGAAAGGATTAAAAAACTGCAGTGAATGATGACTTTCATAATAGTTCAATATTAGTTGCTGTGAAAGTGTACTTGACATATCTTCCTGGCAGGTGCCTTTCTGGTGCCATACCTGCTCATGCTGGTGGTGTTGGGGGTCCCTCTGCTCTACATGGAGCTGATTGTGGGTCAGTACACGAGGAGAGGGCCTGTCCATGCTCTGGCTAATGTCTGCCCACTGTTAAAAGGTACTCTGCACCATTAAAGCATTTTTCCAGCCAAATAAAATAAAATAAAAGCTGACATTATTTTTGTTCTGTCCTTAGGAGTGGGCATAGCATCAGTGGCCATCTCCTTCATCATGTGTACCTACTACAACCTGGTCATCACCTGGGCCCTGTATTATCTCTTCAGCTCCTTCCAGTCACCACTGCCCTGGCAGAACTGCAACAACACCTGGAACACACAGAACTGCACCAGTCATTTCACCAACAGCAGCTACTCCTCCACAGCCAGCCAGGAGTTCTTCAAGTATGCTTCACTGTGTGGGAAAAACCAGCGCTGGTGCTCAGAATCATTATATCACAGCAAGATTACAAAATCCCTGTAGTTTGACACAAGACTGGGTGATCGCACAACACTAACTTTGTTGATTATATCTATCTATATGAAATTCATTTGAGTAATACGAGGAATAACAGTTGAAGTGTGATAAGAGTTTGCCAAACATATTACCTTAAGGAAGTATGCAATTCTTAACCTTGAACCTCATTAGGCAACCTAAATGTTGATGTTTATGATAGATTATCTTCGTTTAAGATCAAATCTTATCCTATATCCTGTTTTTTATGTTTTATTTTGACATGCTGTGGATGTATTTGGGATTAGTTTTCCAATATCATTTTATATTTAAGATTAAAAAAGATACACATCCCACACATCACAACACAGCCACCTTTTACATTTAGGATACGTGGCAGTTTAGACAGTGGGGCTAAACCTCACATATTGGTTAACTTTTTTAAACTACAGTTAGGGGACACGTGGCAACGGCATGTCAGTTTTGGTTTAAATATTATGAGCAACATGTGAGCCAAGAAACATCACAACTGCACAGTGGTTGCTTGGCAAAGTGTTATTCTGTCAAAGTTAAGAGAAGTTGGGGCAGCTCTTGTTAAAAAAGCACATCAGTTACTCTTGAAGTGACAAGAATGACATGCCAAATGTATAACGTTTCCAAAATCAGTTTTGGCAACCTTTGATTTAAAAGTGTACCACATTGTGAGTATGAACATGGGATGAGATATGCATTACATAATTTCTTTGTGAGTTTAAGCATAAAGGTCAACAGATTGAGATGTTATGAGATCGTATAGCCTTCAAATCTGAAAATGTTACATAATCATATTTATGGTACCACGTTTTAATCTATGCAAATAACAATTTGACCGACTGATCGACATGTCCGACCCTTAAATAACAAATCATAAACAATCTAATCACAAAACCATTTGCATCCACCTGCTGTAGAGAAGTTACTGGGCACCAAATATAAGGTTGGATGTTATGGTAGATACTATGGTAGAATGGGGACAAAGTATTTGGCTGATAAAATGACCAATGATCAGGTGATTATGAAACAGAAACCAGTCTGGATCAGAAACATGAAAATCCCCAGAATGGAACCCTGTGGGACACCATACGCTAAGGCTTCCCTGCCCATTGTCCATTTGATTGAAATTGCTCCAAAAATGACTTGGTAATGTGTGGTATAATGTAAGGAATAACATAGAATATAATATACAATACTCATTTCTACTTCTTTTCTTTTATTTGACTTCTCTGAAGATACAAGATGCTGCAGCAGACTGGTGGAGTAGATGAAGCAGGACTGATTCGGTGGGAGCTTTTCCTCATTCTCCTTCTGGCTTGGATCATCATATACTTCTGCATCTTTAAGGGGGTCAAATCAACAGGCAAAGTGAGATAAAAGAGAGATGGATTTAAGAAGAAACAAACAGACGGTGCAGAACAACCATTGTTTTATCTCTGTTTGCAGGTGGTGTACTTTACGGCTCTGTTCCCGTATATTATCCTGATTGCACTGCTGATAAATAATGTGCAGCTTCCTGGAGCATTGGATGGAATAACCTTCTTCATTGTGCCGGACTGGAACATGCTCCTGTCAGTAGAAGTAAGAAAGAAGAAACAGAGAAGAAGACGACATTCCAATAGCCACCTATTCTGTTTGAAACAGGAGGTGCATACTAGTATTTGAATTAGTGTTGATAATGTGCACCTGGACACAGTCAAGCAAAAGGCCCAATAGGAGCAAGACACACAGACCTTACAATTTTTTACACCATTATGTTTTTGTGTCTCTGCAATTGTAGTTGACATTTTGTGTTACAAGGTAATCTACCTTTGTAGTTTTAATGTGTAATTTTCAACTCATTTTGTGAGTGTTTGTAGTTGTTTTGTGTCTCTATGTAATAGTTGTTCTATTTCGTATATGGCTTCGCCCTCTAAGGCTATCGCTATTGGGTAATCCCCCTGCGCACCCGCGCAGCACTGAAAAGCTTGTAGTCCACGCCCACCCGCAAGGTGGGCCCCGCCCTCGGGCCTCCTTCCGGTATAAATAGGAAGGAGGCCCGGCAATCTGCTCCCTCTTTTCTTCAGCAAACCTCGGCAGTTACTGAAGCACAGAACCATTAAACATCATGAGCAACAACTGCGTCCGAAATTGTCCCTCATGTGGCTCAGGATATATCATGAGCTATGACCAGCATGCAATGTGCGAATCCTGCCTGGGGCCAGAGCATGCGGACGCGGCTCTCAGCCAGCAGGTCGCTTGCTCACATTGTGCCCGTCTCCCATCAGCCGACAGGAAGCGAAGAGCGGACGCTCTAGCTGCTGCGGCCGACGAGGACGATTGGNCCGGATTTCCTGCCAACACCTGATCCTGTCCTGTTGGAGGTCCTGCCGACACTTGCTCCGCCGGATTTCCTGCCAACACCTGATCCTGTCCTGTTGGTGGTCCCGCCGACACCTGCTCCGCCGGATTTCCTGCCAACACCAGATACTGTCCTGTTGGGTGTTCCGCCGACACGTGCCCCGCCGGGTTTCCTGCCAACACCATATCCTGTCCTGTTGGGGGTCCCGCCGACACTTGCTCCGCCGGGTTTCCTGCCAACACCATATACTGTCCTGTTGGGGTTTCTGCCGACACCTGTTCCGCCGGATTTCCTGCCAACACCATTTCCTGTCATGTTGGAGGTCCCGTCAACACCAGCTCTTGCTCCATCCGGGGTCCCACTGACACCAGCCCATGTTCCGTCCAAGTTTCCGTCTACGCCTGTCCCGCCAAGGGTTCCACCAGCTCCTGCTTTCGATCCCAGTGCTCCGGCGATCCAGCTGATACTGGAGGGGTCCCATTGCGGCGTACGTCGTCCTCTGGAGCTATCCAGTCGCCGCCTTCTGGCCCAACCTTGTTTTGTTTGTCTAGGTTTGGGTTTATTTTGCTGTTCTGTTCTCCCTGTTTCATGTTTTTCTCCTTGTTTCTTGTCTGGTCCTTCTCCCTGTGTGTTCCTCCCTGTCGTTAGTTTCCCTGGTGTGTCTAATCGTCTGATTGTGTTCATCTGTTGCCCTTGTGTTTCTCCCTCCTTTACCCAGCTGTTTCTTGTTCCTTGATTACCTATTCCTGTGTTGCCCGGTCGGTTCATTGTTTGTTTGTCCTCCCTTCACGTCACGTTTTCATGTTTTTCTCTCCGGTCTTCCTCCATCTTTTTCACGTTCAGTTTTTGTGTTATTGTTTTCCTGAGCTACCATTTTGATTCATGCCATGTTTTGTGAGCAGATTTTAAATAAAGCTCGCTTTTTTTTCTAAACCTTTTTCCGTTTTTGTAGTCTGCATTTGGGTCCTACCTTTTCCCTAATCTTACAGAGATCTTAACATGCAGAACATGCTCCAAATATATGCACCTGCTTGATACTCAATCACACCCGTACATTTGGCTTTAATACAAACAACAAACAGCTCAAAAGAAAGTTAGAAATGACACTTGTGTAATGCCTAGGACAGATGACCTGAATTAATCCTTCATTTATATACAGGCCGCACCAACCCTGAGTTCAGAGGCTGTTGGTGCCTGACACTTCTATATACTGAGATGACTTCTCGAGCACCATCTACATGCAAATGGAATTCAACATTCTCTTTGGTTCACTACCAATGAATAACACATCAATTTAAGAGGAGTGTGTAGATAAGTCATTCAATGTTCATGCCTAGTTTGATATAATTATATATGCACAACACAAAATAGTCTATGTACTGTACGTATATCGGTATATATTAATAGTTGGCTGTCTAACTGAAGAAAAAGACTAATGTGGAGTAAACCTGTTCGAGAGGCCCTTTTTCTTCTTTGTGGGGTTTTCCCTTTCCTAAAGCGTGGTATAAAGGCTTTTGTGCATGTAAATGGTCAACAAAGACCTAAAACCCCTTTATATCTGTTACATAGTTTACTACACGCTCACTCCTATTGGCTAGCGCTCCAACACATTGTACGTGATTAGCTAGGGACACGACATCTCTAAGCGGTTGACGAACCACAGCAGAGAAGACTTGGCTCTAGTTTCAGACAGAGGGTGAAAAGAGGTGCTGCAGCACAGGCAGTACGAGAAAATAAAAAGCTTTTTGAAGATTAAAGCATGGAGACATGTCACAGTCATACTTGCCAACCTTGAGACCTCAGAAATCGGGAGGATTTAAAAACCACCGCCCGGGGGGGGAGGGGGGGGTGCTAGTGGATCGCCAGAGCTGTATTAGATTAACATTAACATGCTTATTGTAGTTGTAAGGAAAGGAGTGAACAGAGGGTCGAGTTGTCTATCTTCCTCACCCTCTCATACTTTCAGTTGCGCGTGCTACTAACGAGACGCGCTGCCATGGAAACCGAACAATGGTGTAGCTGTATTAAAGTCCGAGTCCTGAGTAAATCTAATTTTGTCACAAATCGGGAGAAATGCGCGACAAATATAACCCTGGGAGTTTGAAAACACCGGGAGACTGGATGTTATTTTCTGACTACTGCGTTTTTCAAAATAGGATTTGCCTTGCTGCAAGAGCAATACATCTATAGAACTCAAATTAAACTCTACTGTGTAACCCAGTGTTTGTCAAAGTGGGGGGTGCGAGAGACCAGGAGGAAAGATTTATTTATTTTTTTTAAAAAGGGATTCCGTGTTTCTTTCAAGCTCGGCTCTGTGTGTGTGTGGAACGAGCCATTTTGTGTGCGTGCACGAGAGAGAGAGAGAGAGAGAGAGAGAGAGAGAGAGAGAGATTGTTAGCTTCTGGTGCTAGCGAGCAAGTGGCCGAGTCTCAAGCGTTTTGGTCACGATTAATGTAAACAATTATTTCCGTGACACACGTCTATATGATCATTATAGTTATAAAAAAATAAGAGAATAAATGAAAAACAGATCTGAAATACTATATATGCCACAAAAAAAAAAGGGGAGTGATTTGTAAAATATCCATAAAGAAAAAGTAAATCTGTTTACAGTTCTGTTTCAAATGGGTGTTGAGAGAGGTATCCATAGATCTCTTCATTTTGCTCTCAAAGTGCACCAGCTTGATGCATTTAACTTTAATATTTAAAAAATAAATCTTGCCAGGGGAGCAGGCCCCCGGNACGGGGGCACCTCCGTTTTCCCGACGCTCCCTCCAACAGTGTGCGTGACGGAAAGTGAGGCAGAGGAGAGCAGTACTCCACGCATGTGCGGGTCCCCTACTCATCTCCACACCACGTCACGACTGGCAGGTGTGCCTCGGACAATAATGCCAACGACGCCCTACCAATAACGCACTGCACACATACACCGTATAGACCTGTCATCCTTACGACGCTCCCATCATATGTTGTTCGCTTCCGCTAAGGCGCGTCGACTTAGCCTGCAGATCGGGACAACTCTTCTCGGGTTCCCTAGTAGTGCACTGTCGCTCCGTGTTGCCGTACACGTCGACCGCAGTGCCTCTCCCGACACACCCAACACTGGTGGCCTCCTCTCGACAGTCAAGAAGGGGAGCGAACCGCTCTCAGCGGCGAAGAGTACGACGACTCAAATTGAGGTGAGGTCTATTTGCTAAACAGACTCTCCACTCTCCTGTCGGAGAAGAAGTTATAATAATCACTTGCGGTCCGGAAACCTGTCTACGGTCATGCTCTCCATGGCAGCAGATTTTCCGCTCGAAGGAGGACCTCGGCTCCGCTGTCGTTTATCGTCAGCAGGTCTCTTTGGTCGTGAGAGTAGGGAGGCGACACATCACGGAGGTCGGAAGAGATGTGTTTACGCTCCTCTCGGTCCTTTATAGGTTGCCGTTCGCTAACAGACCAGACTATAGGGGACTTACCTTTGCTGCTTCTAAGGACACAAAGCCCTACTGACCCTCATGCCACGCTTCGATACGTCAGGAAGTCCACTTCCACTTGGCGTAGCAGGACCACTGTGTGTAAGTCGTGGACAAACTAGCAGGTCGTACACCTTATGACTGTCTAGCTCCTACAGAGTAAGGGGGTCAGACAAAAACCCTAATCTTTTTATGTGCCTCTCACTTTTGGGCTAAAGGAGGAACTCCTTGGGACCTTTACTAGGAGAAAGGTGCCTCAGGGTCGTCGAGCCTAACCCCGGCGTTCTGTATCGAAGACCCTCGCTGTCCTCAACAACATGACGATCAGGTGACCTACCCCCCCCCCCTCCCTCTCGCTTGACCGTCCTGCATAGGAGACGACTAGTCGGACGGGAGTAGGTAGACAGTAGTCTGTGCGGCGACGGTGAACGACTTCTTGTGAGCATTCTCGCCCGCCGGTGTACGGAGCTCTACAAGACACAGCAGTACCGTTGCTCGGTGGGTCCCTCAGAGCTGGCGACGGCAAAGTGAGGACCGAGAGTAGTACTCCACGACATGTGCGAGTCCCCTCTAACCTCATACAAAAGCACAGACTGCCGTAATAATTGTCGCGAGCTATCACCATACTAGCAGAATCACACATGGCCAGGGTGTGCGAGCACTCCGTACGTTAATTACAATATTAGGGATCATAGTACGTCGACGGCACTACAATTCAGAGTTAACCCACACACGACCAAAAAATCACCATAAGATGGCACCACAATCTCTCAACATACGAGCAACACAAGACCACGTCTCCACTATCGTCCACGGAGCGGCACTCGCGGAAAGACATGCGTCTGTCATTGTCGTGACACAAGGAGATAGTGGGCCGATATCCTTCCAGCGTGAGACTCGCGCTCGTCGACGAGCGACATTGGCATCCGACAAGAGTCGCATGCCATTGTCAACTACTCGCAGCACGGTATGTGGACATGACATCGCGCGCCTCGCCTCGCTCCCTCATGTACGACTATCGAGTCAGAATGTGAAGGCAGCTAGAACACGTTAGGGACAGAGTTTTAGACGGAAGTGCCGACCGGACGCAGACAGATTCGTATACCTGAGTAGGATAAGATAACAGCCCCTAAGGGTCACTCGCTGCACGACCTGACAAGACTCGTCATTCCGCCGCACCGTACGATCGGTGTACTCAGTTGGTAGACATCACACGATGAGCTTATGAAAGACATTGTCGACAATGCGCGCCATGTCAAGTCCAGCCACTGCTGCCGCATCTACATAGAACATGCTCTCGGCCATACGAACGATAGACACTACATCCATGCACATCGCTAATTTGCGTTTTGCCAGCAGTTAGATGCTCACGAGGTCCAACAAGTCAGTATCGCGTGTAAAGATATTTTCGTGGAGGTCTATCAGAAGTAATATTGCGTAATCCTAGAACAGCTGTTTATAGCTCTAATTCGTTCCGTTCAAAAAATGATATCGTGGAAAGTGTGTTCGCTTAAGTTCACACGAAATGTTTTTACTCCTGAACTCTGTTCCGTAAAGTTTGTCAGAATTTCTTTTTCATATTTTTTTTAATTTTCTTTTTTATGTACCTGCTTTTCATGTACTTATGTTTCATGTCACGCAAATTCTAAACTTAATCGATTGGTCTCTTCAAGGTGAAATGGACGAGCGTTCCCAAAGTTAATTTTCATCCCGCTGTTTCTTTCTATATTCAGAAGCTCGGCACCTAAATTTCATATTCGCAACGTCGCCCTGACGCCAGCAGACCATCAATACCACACCTGGCGGCGGCGGTGGCGTGGCTCGTCACCATGAAGACCATTACGGCACTTCACAGAGAAGCCTCTCCCCCTAGCAGTTCCATGGGATACAAGAAACACTCCTGTCATCCCAGGAACAGTGTCTTGCGCGGTTTTTACCCCCGCTATTTTTCTAAATCTCCTCTGTCCTGTGCGCGCGCTGTCTTGCTATGTGGCGCGCACGGCTGCCTTGCGCCATTCTCAGCGCCTGTTTTTGCACTATAGAGAGCGCTCGATCGGGCAACCTCTGTCTGCACAGCGGCTGTCACACAGGTTGTGTGAGGCTGTGTCACAGGCATGTCTCCTCTGGGGTGGAGCCCCCGGAGAACATCAATGCGCACTCCACCAGAGGAATTTCCTCCTCCACGGCTTTGCACGGAGGAATGTGGAGTGGAAGATATTTGCACTGCTGCATCTTGGTCTTCCCCCTGTTCATTTATTCAATTGTATTTAAGGGATGTCTCCCATTCCTCTCTGACGCACCCTGTACTGGGTGTCCTGTCGGAGTGAGTGACGTCAGGGAGCCAGCTGTGCGCTTCTCTCCTGCCTCTCGGCACGCGGAGAGCGGCCCTTTTTCCCTCTTATAGGAGGGATGTTCCTTTTTCCTCTGACACACTTTGTACGGGGTGCCTGGTCAGAGTGAGTGACGTCAGGGATCCAGCTGGGCGCTCTCCTACCTGTCTGACAGGCAGAGAGCTGCTGTTCCCCCTCTATGATCGCTGGGCAAGGTGGGACCTTCGTCTCTACTTTCTCACAGCGGCCGGTATGTATTGTTCCCAGCCTTCCCCGTCAGGGAAGATAGGCATGTTTTGCTATGTTCCAGGGACGGTGATGCGCCATTACGCATGGCACAACAGGCATGGGGTGTTATTCAGCAGGTGTGTCTGTGCTTCTAGTACCGGGCGGACCCAGTGGGGCGCAGACTACATCATGCTTCGCCCTTAACCCAATAGCGATAGCCTTAGAGGGCGAAGCCATATACGAAATAGAACTGAGGTTCCCTACTGTAACCCCAGCTTCTATGAGTAAATGGCGCAGCCCTCTAAGCGCTGGGCCCCACTGGCTCTACGAATAGCTGAAGAAAAATTATTTTGTATGGGAGCAGATTGCTGGGCCTCATTCCTATTTATACCGGAAGGAGGCCCGAGGGTGGGGCCCACCTTGTGGGTGGGCGTGGACTACAAGTGTTTCAGTGCTGCGCGGGTGCGCAGGGGGATTACCATTTACTCATAGAAACTGGGGTTACAGTAGGTAACCTCAGTTTTCCTCTTTGTGGTCATGCTGTGATGGTCTGTGTTCCTGATGCCTCTTTTTCTTGTCATTGTGTGTCTCTTTGTGGTCTCTTTGCGCCACTTAGCAGTTCTTTAAATCTCTTAATATTGTTTTGTTCTCTGTCGTCTTTGTGTCTCTGTAAAGTCAACTTATATTTATTTGTGGTGAGTTTGTGTCTCTTTGTGGTTCTTTTTGTGCCTCTTTGTTGACATGTTGTACTGCCCAATTTTATTCAAATTTCAATGTCTTTGTCATTGGTTTATTTCTTTGTTTTTAGTCTCTTATTAGTCGGTAGCTATGTGTCTCTTAGAGTGACATCCTGTAAGTTAATACCAGGAGGGGCCCTGAAGATTCAGGCCTCTGAAATATCACATAATCCAACTGTGGGTGTGGATCATTTGTACTGGCAGTGATCCGTGGGTTGGATGCTCATCTCTCTGTGTTGCAGGTGTGGGTGAACGCAGCAGCACAGATCTTTAACTCCATCGGGATTGGTTTCGGCTCCCTCTTGGCCATGTCCAGCTACAACTCCTTCAACAACAATGTTCTAAAGTAACAAGCCAACATACAAATTGACCCCTTCCTTCAGCACTGACAATAATGATTGTTAGGGAATAATTCTCCTAGATATCCACCATTTGCACTTTGACATTTATGACCAACTGACGTTTGTAGTCACAAATGGTTTATTGTTGTGGGTACACTGGAGCACTTCCTTCTTGGGGTTTGTGGACTCCAAGGTGTGAAATCTTCGAGGCCATAAGCACATTCAGTGTTCCCAGTTGTTTAGTCTATCTCCCCAAATATGTTGATTACCTTCTCGGAACTAGTTAAAAGGTCTATCGAGAGAGAGGCTCTTCAGAATTGACGTGGCAACTCTACTGTGAAGTCAGAACCTCTGACTCTTTGACTTGTTTTGTGAATTCTCCGGCCGAAGCTCCAAATAAACCCATCAGTGTTTGCCATCAAAGCTCCAGCTCTCCCCGTGTCTCCTTTTGAGTCGGTGACTCCTCCTGCATTGCTACACAGAAGTTTCCCCCACAATGATCACTTGGCAGTCTGAATGTGATATTAAAACATCTTCTCTCCCCACAGGGACACCCTGACTATAGCCATCATCAACTCCCTCACCAGCCTCCTGGCAGGTTTTGTCATTTTCTCTGCTTTTGGATACATGTCTCATCTTCAGGGCATCCCTATCAGCGATCTGGCTGTGGATGGTAAGAAAACCAAAATGTTTAAATAAATGTAACTAATTTCTTCAGCTCTAGGGAGATTGATTTGATTTTCATTTTGGTTCAGAGAGTGCCATCTCTTCTTCTATAGTAATATGAGTTTGACAATTAATCGCATACATGATTGATTTTAATCAAAGGAAAGAAAGATAGAAGAAGGTAAATACAAATGTGCACTTGTGAGTGTTTGAAGGGTTATTAATCAGTGTCCTTGCAAAGCAATGCTTCATGGTAGATTATTTCGTGTCATTTTTTATGAGAAAGTTGATGAGCAGAAATACAATTGGATGACATATGATTCATATAGCTAATTAAACGCTTGATGAATGGACAACTGAAATTAATGATCAGCTTGTCATGCTTTATTGCTGTTTCACAAACAATAAACAAACTGTTAATCAAAAAACAAGAAAAGGAAAAGTGATATATAAGGAGAATTTACAGTTTATGCATTGTGAAATAATTGTTCAATTTAAAAAGACAAATAGGCCGTTTCTCAATCTCGAGGATGCTGGCTTGGTAGTCGCTTACTTCCAAGTCACTTCCTTCAGAAACGAAGCAAGTATGCTTCCAAGCCACGGCTTCGGAAAACGAAGAAGAATGGAACAGGCTAACAAGTGTGCCGCTCTCTCTAACGTTGTCAACATAAACTGTACCGAAAATAAATACCTCACGATGTCTTTTTTGAGAATGAGTTCTTATTTGATTTGATTTATTGGGGTCTACAACAGATGATACAAATGTTTGTGTCAGTAAATGTGTGGCAGGGGTGTTTGTGAAAATAACGGGGACAGAGCTGCTGTCAGACGAACAGCTGTGCGGCGTCATCACAAACGGACGTCGCTTCACGTGACGCTTTCGCTTTCAGATCTTTTTTTTTCGCTTTCAAACTTTTGGCCCTGATATTGCTTGGGGGGCGGGGCTTACCAAAGAGTAGTTTGGCATCCTGAGTGACAGGCCTCCCTCTGCCATGTTGCCTTCATGGATGTTAGAAAACTGAGACCAGCGTCAAAGTTCCGTTAAGCGAGCTGTTGAGCATCGTAGTTGGCAACAATCAAGTACAAATAAACTGTGTTAGAATGTGAAATTACGTATCCGCAACGAGCCAGCAGGTTATTCTGGTGGACCTGACGCCATCCCCCGCTGTCTCACGGAGAGATACCGCAGGTCCTTCCTTCCTGCAGCGGTCACATACAACCAGCACAGCTCCTAGTAGACCCCGCACAAAACAACACAGACTATAACACCTCTTGTTGATAAATACCAACTATGTGCAATATTTGCAGTATGTGCAATATATATATGCCGTTAAAAATTGTGCAATATATACCTGGCTGCTAAATCCGCAGAACTGTCACAGGTTGTGTATTATGTAAAATGTGTAACTTTAAAAATATGGGCCTATATCATTTCTTATTTTAATCTTTAATACTTGTTGTGTGTATGCTTTAGGTAACATTAAGCCGTCTTTGGCTCTTGTCTGCTGTAACAATGCAAATGTATCCCCTGTGGGACTAATAAAGATATTCTGATTCTGATCGCAAAAACCAAGCCAATATGCTGCGTTCATGGAGCTACGTAGAAGTGCGGAAGGACAACGCTTGATTGCGGATACGTGATTTCAGATTCTAGAACAGTTTATTGCTCTTATACCTTGATTGTTGCCAACTACGATGCTCAACAGCTCGCTTAACGGAACTTTAATGCTGGTATCAGTTTTGTTTACCACCAATCACGGGAGTATTGTGTATAGAAAGTGTGTAGTTGTATTTCTTGCGCTACCTAACATCCATGAAGGCATCATGACAGAGGGAGGGCTGTCACTCAGGGTGCCAAACTACTCTTTGGTAAGCCCCCGAAGCAATATCAGGGTCAAAAGTCTGAAAGCGGAAAAAAAAGATCTGAAAGCGAACAAAAAAGATCTGAAAATGAAAAACGATTTGANCTAACCCTAACACCAGATACTGACTGGTTTTCGGACCCCCCCAGACCCCCCCAATAAAGCAAATATGCACGTTTCAGAGTGGCCTTTTATTGTGGCCAGCCTAAGGCACACCTGTGCAATAATCATGCTGCCTAATCAGCATCTTGATATGCCACACCTGTGAGGTGGGATGGATTATCTCGGCAAAGGAGAAGTGCTCACTATCACAGATTTTTTCAGATTTGTGAACAATATTTAAGAGAAATGGTCATTTTTTATAAGTAGAAAATGTTTTAGATCTTTGAGTTCATCTCATGAAAAATGGGAACAAAAACAAAAGTGTTGCATTTATATTTTTGTTCAGTGTACATACAAAATATAAACAATGATAAACAAAATATAATCAGCAAATACTGTATTGTGTAAAATTATGAGTTAAAATAAACGTTTTGGTTCCTTGGTCAAATTCAAAAGCTACCTAGCAATATATTAATAATAAAAAAGAAAGAAAAAGACTTGGGCTGTTGTGAAGAACAAGTATTTTTACCTTTTGCTCTTTAAGTATGCTTTCAAGGTTCAAGGTTCAAGGAGAATTTATTTATGGCAGCGAGTACAAGCACAGTCACTTTAGTTACTGTTGGTTTCTGTCCCTGGTCGGTTGCAGTACGGTCTCCCTTTGGGAGGTCGTAAGGGGGGCTTAGTGTGGTGCGAATGTGGTTGGAGCTATTGGCTCGGGAGCACGTCCAAGGCTGCGGGTGGAGTGGCTAGATGCTGGGTGCCTCGCCGGGCTTGTGGGTTTTAGTTCGTAAATACCCGGGACAATTAACACCTGAAGACCAGGGGGGAGTTTAGCTAGTTTCCTGTGAGGCAGATAGAGGGACGGACCGCGGTGGCGTCAAGACTGTGTAAGTAGCGCGCCGCGCAGTGTGTTGTCGCGTAATAGTTTCACTGTGTAGGGAAGTTAGTGTGGTCCTGAGGAATAGTGTGGAGGAGTTTTTGAGAGCACCTTCGTCTTTCACGTGAGCAGTTGGTCCATATTGCCGAACATTTTACCTTGGAGGTGGGTGATAAAAGGATGAAGGAAAATATCAAAGGCATTGTTAAAGTGAATCCGACGGATTTGGGGCTGTTTGAAAGTAAAATGTATACTGTGGATCCTAGAAGGGACAGTGTTGATGTGTCTGGTTGCCGTGATGCAGGCCTGACTTTTGAGCAGAGGGAGGAGTTGAATAAGAGAATAAATGAAAAACAGTTATGAAATACTATATGACAGTAAAACAAGAATACAGTTTAAAAGGGGAGTGATTTGTAAAATATCCATAAAGAAAGAGTAAATCTGTTTACAGTTCTGTTTCATATCGGTGTAGAGAGATGTATCCCTAGATCTCTTCATTTTGCTCTGAAAGTGCACCAGATAACTTCAATATTTAAAAAAAACTCTTCCCGGGGGAGCATGCCCCTGGACCCCCCGAGAGGGTGTTAGGTCCCCCCCCACTTGTGAAAATAGCACTTTGCCCCTGCTTACACCCAGCAAAAACTGCAGTATCCCATGGTTTGATATGTGATTCATATAGATGTAAACATTCATTTTAATAATAAATGTGTTGTGAGGATTTCCTCAGACTCTAGCCTTCAGCTGTCTGAATGAGCAGTTGGCCGGTACGGTACCTGGCTTGAACCGCTCTCCTAATTTACATCAAAGGTGAGAATTGAGGCAAAGACTGAGCAATGTAAATAAGGCAGGTATGTCCAGCTCACAAGGGATAGTACAGCTTTTTAGTTATCCCCCTGACTCAGACACACACCGTGGTACGCACACTAAGACACTCAGAGACAAAAACACAATTAACTCAAGTCAAACGTATTTGAATGTGAAGCTCCAGGTACCAGTTTGTAAAAGGCTGTTAAATCCAACAAGCTGTGTGTGTGTTCTGTATGCTCATATTTGTGTGTGTGAGTGAAGTGAAGAACCAGACGGAGACATTAAAGCAGAGAACAAATCCTCGCCGTCATAGTTTTAGGTTTATAACAAATCTGAGACAAGGATCAGATTCAGAGCCTTGGATCAGAAACATTTCCTATTGATAGCACACTCCCGCAATCACAAAAGTGTTGAAATATTGAGTAAAAGCTATTGGTAGAAATGGATAAAAATGGAGGTATAGATTTTAGCATTTTTTTTAGAATTTTAAGGAAGACATGTACTGGCACCAACAGTAGAATTTGGTTAAACGAGGCACACATATCTCTGACTCATGATGCCTTTTTGTTCCTTCTTCTGCCAAGTACGAAGGAGTTTCATATGGGCCCAGAACAGTCTCATAATACACACATGCACACAGAAGGATTCACACTTGTATTTCATGATCCGCAAAAGAATCCACACTTGTGTTTTTCAATGCACACACAAATGTGTTCCGTTTCATATACATTTAAATAAAATCCAAACACAGCAAAAACATTTACATATGTGTCGCATTAACCCAAAGACACATTTTGAGTTGTATACACTGTTGGAAAGAGGAGACTCTAGATTTAAACGGATAACAAATGTGTGGATCAAAAATACATATGTAAAACTTTTTTCTGTGTTTGGATTTTATTTACATGTATATGAAACGGAACACATTTGTGTGTGCATTGAAAAACACAAGTGTGGATCCGGAAATGCAAGTGTGAATCCTTTTGCGGATCATGAAATACAAGTGTGAAGCCTTCTGTGTGCATGTGTGTATTATGAGACTTTTCTTGGCCCATAGTTACAATCCCGTCTGTCAATGCCAGAGACATTTGACAAGGCATTCGGCTTGATTATGGCGAGCAAACAACCCTTTACTCTTAAGGACCAGTTTCCTAGATCTGGAATTTGAGTCTCCACGATTTAATGATATATTCTTCAACTTCTTCGAGACCAAAAGAATAAGCGGCAGCATGGTGACAACAAAGGCCATTCGACTGTTGGACAATTCTGAAAAAAGCCCAGATACATTCCACGTTAATTCAATGACATTGTTGTAATCTGCCTGCAAATTATTATAAAGCATTTGCGCACTATGATACCTGTGTAACTGACTGCTATTTTTTTTACTATTGCTTATACGGCGGACGTAGGTTTGGGGTGTGACGCTGTGATCTCCGGAATGTGTATGACTAATATAAGGCAAAATAGCAAGCACCAGATCTCTCTCGTGCCACAGAACTCCCTGATGTACATGTAAATTAGCATAGTTTAACGTACAACATTATTGTCATGTACTCTTTAAAACGGTGTTGTTTGTATAAATGTTCATACAAACATATGGGCTCCTCCATCTTATGTGCGGCACATGTGTGTACTATTTTTAGCTCGTTCCAATTAAGCTAGCAGCAGCCATGCCTTTTGCATGTTTTTCACCCTTGGTAAGCGGAGCGAGATATAATGTGACACTTTGTTTCAGTTATAAAGAAACTCCCGTTCAACGGAATGTATTGTATAGCATTAGCATGTTGTTGAGACCCAGAAAGAAAAAGGTTTCAAATTTCCTTTTTTTTATTCTCTGAAAGAAGATGAAAGAACCACAGAACTTGGTTTTCTCGCAATCTGGCTTCTTTCAGAGTTTGATTGACAGATAGTTACAATCACCTGCCAATTATTTTTAAAAACCGACTTTTTAAGAACTGTTTCGAATAACGGCTATAAAGATGGTTCTGAAAAACAAAACATTTTAAGATTGGGGCAAAGATCTGTGTTAATAAAAGATGGACGTTAATTGCAGGTCTGTACCAGGACATAAACTGTTGTATTCTACCCGAGTGCCATGTCACGATTCTTAGGTTATGTCACGTTTTTAGTTTTGTATGTCTAGGTTTGGGTTTATTTTGCTGTTCTGTTCTCCCTGTTTCATGTTTTCCTCCTTGTTTCTTTTCTGGTCCTTCACCCTGTGTTTTCCTCCCTGTCGCTAGTTTCCATGGTGTGTCTAATTGGCTGATTGTGTTCACCTGTTGCCCTTGTGTTTCTCCCTCCTTTACCCAGCTGTTTCTTGTTCCTTGATTTCCCCTCCCTATATTTAGTCTTGTCTTTTCCTGTGTTCCCCTGTCGGGTCATTGTTTGTTTGTCCTCCCTTCACGTCATGTTTTATGTTTTTCGCTCCGGTCTTCCTCCATGTTTTTCATGGTCAGTTATTGTGTTATTATTTTCCTGAGCTACCGTTTTGATTCATGCCATGTTTTGTTATCAGCTTATAAAGCTTGCTTTTTGTTTCTAAACCTTTTTCCGTTTTTGTAGTCTGCATTTGGGTCCTACCTTTTCCGCGATCTTACAGAGATCTTAACAGAATGAACCGACCAATTATGGACCCAGCGGATTATGATTTTGATTTTGATTTTCTCTCTCTGGATTATTCCCTTCGATGTCTTCATGTTGAGTGGAGCATATCCTCGTCTAGAAGGGACAAAGAGGCTGTCCTTAAAAAGGCACAAATGGAGGTGGCCAACATGCCATGGTTGTGGAGCTTGTTGCCTGAACAGTTCAGAGTTTTCTCACGTAGCCCTAAGTGCCAGTCTCTATTTTCTGACCCTTTTTCGGGATCCCGCCTGGCGTTTGGAGGTCCACGGAGCCTCCAAAAGACCTCTAAAAAACGCAAGGTCAGGAAGCCAGCCCGCACTCAGGTACCGGTCCCAGCAGCCATGGTTCCGGCTCCAGTGCCGGCCCCAGCAGCCATGATCCCTGCTTCAGAACCGGACCTTACAGCCATGTTTCCGGCTCCAGAACCGTTCCTCAAAGCCATGATCCAGGCTTCAGTTCCGGTTTCCACAGCCATGGTTCCGGCTCCAGAACCGGCTCACACAGCCATGGTCCAGGCCCCAGTTCTGGCCCCAGCAGCCATGGTTCCAGCCCCAGTTCTGGCCCCAGCAGCCATGGTTCCGGCCCCAGTTTCGGCCCCTGCTGCCATGTTTCTGACTCCAGTTTCGGATCCAGTACTGGCTCTCTGGCCGACGCCAGCTCCCCGTGTCCTGTCGGCGTACCGGCCGACTCCAGCACCTCATCTCCGGTTGGCTCTCCGGCCAACGCCAGCTCCCCGTGTCCTGTCGCCGTACCGGCCGACGCCAGCTCCTCGTGTCCTTTCGACACCAGCTCCCCGTGTCCTGTCGGCGTACCGACCGACTCAAGTCCTCTCTCAAGTCTCCTCTCGAGTCCCCTCTCGAGTTCATTCTTAAGTCTCCTCTCGAGTCTCTTCTCGAGTCAGGATCCGTTCTCGGGTACTCGTCTGGCTTTTGGAGGTCAACGGAGTCTCGTTCCCTCTCGAGTCCCCTCTCGAGTCTCCTCTCGAGTTCCCTTTCGAGTCACCTCTCGAGTTCCCTCTCGAGTCCCCTCTCGAGTCACCTCTCGAGTCTCCTCTCGAGTCCCCTCTCGAGTTCCTTCTCAGGTCCCCTCTCGAGTCTCTTCTCGAGTCCCCTCTCGAGTCCCCTCTCGAATCACCTCTCGAGTTCCCTCTCAAGTTCCCTCTCAAGTTCCCTCTCAAGTCCCATCTCAAGTCCGCTCTCCAGTCCCTACTCAAGTCCCTTCTCTAGTCCCTGCTCAAGTCCCTACTCAAGTCCCTACTCAATGCCCTGTGCCGTTGGGGGTCCCGCCGACTACTGTTCTGCCGGGGGTCCTGCCAACTCTATGTCCTGTCCAGGGTTTCCGTTAGCCAAGCTTGAAGATGGGCCAAAAATATTTTAGAAATGGTCGATTTTTGT